TTGCTCACACTCATCCTTGTTTTTCTAGCCTTCCTTCTCTATCATTTCCCTTCTCTGGAAAGCATCCATGAAAAGACTGTTGGTCACAGCTGTTTGTCTGAAAATGTCTATATTTAGGTCCTTGGAAGACGCTCTTGAGGCAGAATTTAGGTAGGCAGTAACTTGCCTTTATTAAGCCACCGCCTTCTGGCTCCCACTGTTGTCAGTGAGAAGTCAACTCATTCTCTCACTCTTGTTCTTTGTAATATTCTTTTTGTCTCTGACCACTTTGATGCTTTATTTTTGGTCTTTGATGCGGTGTGGTTTTGCTTTGATTTGTCTAAGATGGATTTTTTGTTGTGTTTACCTTGTTTGGAATTTGTTGGAATTCCTGAATGCAAGGGTTGGTTCCTTTTATTAACTCTGATTTTTTTTTTTTTTTTTTTTTTTTACTGCTTATCTCTTAGAACCTCCCTCCCTCCATTCTGTTATCTCTTCCTGGGGCTCCAACTGAAATATATGTTCTTCCCTCTCAGTCTTTGTTATTGGTGTTTTCAGACTTTTTATGTGCAAACAGGTAACCCAGGAGTCTTGATTCTGAGAAGGAGCAGGCTGGGAGGAAAGGCCGGCCCAGAGTCCTGCTACTGAGTGGCTCAGTAGGAGAGGTGTGACTTAACCCCAAGGAAGGGGTGAAGAGAAAGGAAGATTTAGCTCAAGCCAACAATGTTGACTTAACCAGGACTTCCTATTTTATGAGAATGACTGCAGTAGCCCTGAACTGACCTCAGGTGGGCCATGGGCACCTCTCCACCACTTGGAGCTATTCAACCTGGAAAGAACAGAGACTGATGTATGGCCATCAGCTGGAGGCCATGGAGGGCAGCAGTACTGATCATTCTTTCTTCACTATGAAATCTGAGGAGCAGCCTCAGCACCACCTTCCCACAGGGCTCTAGAGACACTGAGAAAGTGGGGGAAGGAAATCCACATTTGCTCTTCGTGTGTCCACAGTGAACTGTGCAGCCTCGTAGTCCCTGGGAAGATGGAACCATGCATCCTTCCACTTTTTTCTTTACTTCTGTTATAACTCACATGTTGCTATGGTTTCCACACATTGACTCCCTAAAGGACAAGCTTTCTGGCAGATATTGGTGCCCTTATTACCCCCAGTTACTTAAGATCCTCTGCTGAAACCAAGTGGTGTGAGGAGTGAGCCTGCTCCTCCATTCACTGGCTCTTCAGCTCTGGGCAAGTGACCACTCAAACCAGCTTGAAGTCCTGACTTCACACTGTTAGTAAGAAAGCTCAGGTAAGAAAGCAGAGGTGGCCAGTGCTTTGGCACTAACATGTTGGTTTTGTTGTTGCTTGCATTCAGCACCATCTTTAAATGAGGGTATATTAAGTCTGGGAGTGATGTGGAAACTGTGAAAACTAGAAATAAAGATTGTACATGAGGGTATGCTTGAAGTTGACTCATTTCTTTCAGAAGAAAACAATTTCTGGTATAATCATATTAAAGTGCTAAAATATCAGACGAGAGACAGAATGGGGCAGTCACTGCACTGTCAGTCCAGGCTTCCAAGCTCTTTGCATCTGCTCCCATGTCTGGGGTCCTCGTTGCCTGACACCAAAGGCAGGTCATGTGGAAGGGAGTGGGCAGCTTCTGGGACTAGTGGTCAGCTGTCCTAGCACTCCAGTGGTCAGCAGCTGTAGTCCTCCAGACACCCAGCAGTCTCTGTGCCTCTCCAGAATATATAAGAGCAATAAGTTTCCAGAAGGCTTCTGGTGAAAGGATGAGAAAACCTGGAAAGAAACTGGTGGCAGGATAGGTGGGAGGTGTTGATGACTCTTAAGGGTAAATAAGAAAGCCTTCTTTAAAATTGGGCACAGAAAAAATACGTATAATTTAGTTCTATATAAAGAAATATTCAGATCTAAGAAACATATTTTCTCTAGGTTTGTGTCCGATTCAGGTAAGATACTAAGATGCTAAAAGATGACTACAGTGTATGTGTCAGCCACTGTGGTTGAAATATTTAAATGTGCATTCAGTTATATTATAAAATAAGTTAGTATTTCCTGTAATTATTGTATTTGGGTTCTAAAAAATGAAGCTTTTAAGATTACTACTGAATACTAAGCTCAGATTAAAAATGCCTTCCTAGCCATCACAGTAATTTTATTTTTGTTTTGGATGGATTATAAGTGATTGTCCAAGTCTTCAACATTCTGTGCCTGCAAGAAAAGCATTTATGAAAGCTCCTAGTCTGCTCCCAATAGCTGCTCCCCATCCCACTGCTGGTTCAGAGAGCAGAATGTTCCGCACAGAAAGCCATTTCACAATAAGTAGCCACCTATTCCACATCTCAACCAAACACAGTTTAAACTAATCTGGGAAAAAAAACACCTGTCAAACTCCCCACTTTTAAGAGAAGCTGAGAAAATCAGAAAATCACATGGGAACAGCAAAACAAGTGATTGATATAAAAATCAATCAACCAAATCAATCAAAATCTCTCACCCTCACACAGGCGCCTATGCTCACAAGTGGACATTTCAGACCAGAAGCCCTTCTCTGTCGGCTCAGAGCCTGAGCCAGGAGGCAGCAGTGTGAGACCACAGTGGGTTTGTGGGTCTGAGCATCGACTTGGTGCCTTTCTCTAAAGGCCAGACCACTGTTGAGTTTTCCAGCTGTAAAAAGGTCAAAGAGCCAGGTCTTCATGCCTGCTGCTGCACACATTCGAATTTCTAAGGGCACAAGGCTGCCTTGTCCCGGGTTAAATGAAGGATGTGCCATCCTAGAAACCAGGCTTCTTGGTTCCATTCTGATATCCCGACCCCTCCACTGGGAGCATTCCATTAGAGCAGTGGTTCTCAACCTTCTGGCCCTTTAAATACAGTTCCTCATGTTGTGACCCAACTATAAAATTATTGTCATTGCTACTTCATAACTGTAATGTTGCTACTGTTATGAATCGTAATATAAATACCTGATATGCAGGATGGTCTTAGGCGACCCCTGTGAAAGGGTCGTTCGACCGCCAAAGGGGTTGCGACCTACAGGTTGAGAACCGCTGTATTAGAGGCTGTGGAACCTGCCCATAGCAGTGCCACTGACCCCACCTGGGCCCACACACAACCCTTCTCCCTGCCTGGCACTCCTGCACAAAGGATCCCAGCCAGCCCTCCCCTAGGTGCTAAAATCTGCCTCCTTTAGTCCCGTGGGCTGTGGGCAAAGACAATGCAGGACAGGCATCACCAGCATCAGAAAGGTTCCTGGGCTAAGGGCGGCTCCAACTAGCTGTTGGGGTCTCACAGATCCCTGCTCTGATTTTCACAGGCAATGCCTCGGAGTATGAGACAACAATTTTTTTTAAAGCTGCTCATGGTTCTTTGGAGAAGACTGAGAAGGTTCACACCTTCACCCTCGACCCACCATTGAGATCTGATTAAAATAAATTCATAGAAAGATGAAGAGCATCCCACATAACAGAGAATGCAGTAGGTGGGGATATCACTGGCAGGGCCAGATATCAGCACATGTCCTCAAGGGGGAGGCTGAGGTGGCCATGGACAGCTGCAGCAGTGGTCTCAAGCAGGCAGGAGTGGGGCCTGGAGTGAGCCCCACGAACCTCCCGACAATGGAGAGCTGTGCCCCCCCGCCCAGCTTCTAGTTAACAAGTGGGGCCCTAACAGCACATCTGGGCAGGAGGAAGATGGCTTCCCAGTAGGGACAGGCAAATGTGCCCACCACTGATTTAGAGTTACACCGTCCTCACCGCAGGGTTAAAACCAGGAACCTTTAAAAATGGCCACGGGGGTGTCATGAGTGGGGAGGGACTTCCCTTCACCGTACCCCCTATCATTTAATTCCAATGTGTGCTGATTAATAAGGTGTTTTTTGAAAAGAGAAAAACCATCAGTCTTTCTTTTCTACTCAATAGAAAATTTCCTTCAGTGATGGTGAATTGATCTCTATTTCCAATGCTTACTGTTACTTAAAAACCCTCTCCTGCCCTGCCTTTGCATCTTATTCAGATGACCTTCCCTCACCTGCACAATTCAAAGTGTAAGGGTTTGCAGAAAGCCCATGCAGGCTCGCCTGCCTGGTGACCCTCCCTGTCAGGAACAGAGTCAGAGGATTTGAAGTTCAGCAAATGTGCAAGACGGTATAGAGAAGAAAAAGGCTCCTCAAAATAGGCTGCAGGTTTGCTCCACCTGCCAAAAGCTGCAAAACCAACTGCTGACCTTAGCCTCTTCTCTCTTTCTTGTTTCCTCCCCCATGCCACACCCCGCCCCCCCCATCCTCTATTTTTCCTGGCACAGCTAGTGTTTTCCTCTTTATCTGCTATAGCTAAACCCAAGGAAGAAAGCCCTTCTGCTCTCCATTGCTGCTCCATATCTTGGCCCTGAGAGTTGCATGTATCCCCCTTGGCCTCCAGGCCACAGGAGTTTAGGATGCTTCTTCCTGAAGTGAATTAGGATTGTCACTGTTCTCCAGCACTGATGTTACTAACTCTAGAATGAAACTGAGGCCTGTCACCATTGGCCTTCATACACGTGTGGACTCTGTTTCAACGAGGGCTTCGAAATGGGAGAGTGTAGCCTCACTGGGTGTTCAAATACCCTTTTTGACACATCTCAGACTTGTTTGACAACACGTCATCTCACTTCTTAGATGCTTGTAAGACACTGCTACTCCTGCCCATAGGGGGTGGGGCGGACGCCAGGTTCAAGGCAGTCCTGCAGTCACCGCCCGCCTTGTGTGTGGAGGAAAGCCCCCACTGACTGCAGCAACAATTAAAACAATTTGACATCAGGCCAAGTCCTCCACATGAGTAGAATTAGTGCTAAGACATTAAAGGTTATTCAAGGCCATTTGGATACGACAGAGGTCAGGAACACTGAGAGAACGCTATTAATATTATTGCTTAATATTAATATTGTAGCAGTTCACAGCAACATGCAGGTAGTAAATGGTAACAAGAAGAGAAGGGAAGGCAAACAAAGTGAAAACTCACATCTGGGTGCGGGATGGCGTACTGTCCCTGGATCGTGTAGGCCTAGAGAGAGAAACACTGTCAGCTTGGGAAGTAGCGACCCTCCCCTGCAGAACAGGCTTTCTCCTGGGGGGGGGGGGGGGGACTTTCATGTGAACTGGCCCCAAGCCACCTGCCCCAATCCTGTAGGACAAAGGGAAGTGATCTGGAGTCAAGCCTCGACAGCGCCCCTTGCTGGCTGTAGCTACAATCACACACATAAGCCAGGGAGTTGCACCCCACTTCCTAGAGGCCTGCAGGAAGTCAAGTCAGTGGGGAGAGAAGGAAATCACACCCCTCAGTGTTTCTGACCCCCCACACCCCCAGTTTCTTGAAAGGAAAACACTAAGAATGATCTGACCCCTGTTATAGTTTACTAATAATTAACCTTTTGAATATTTAATCAATCACGAGTACACATTTTTAGGAAATATTTATGCCAAGAAAACCAAACAAAAAAAGAGAAACCTTTAAGAGGTGACTCAAGACTAATTTTGCAAAAGCCAGATTAAGTAAGAAATGCACCCAAATCATTAGAGATTAACCAGTTTATCTTTTAACCTCTGAGGACAGGGTGGCTATTCTGACTTGGTGGGTAGCACACTCATGGCACAGCTCCTAGGGGGACCAGGATGGGTCCCAAGGCCTCGTTTGGTTTCACAGTTTCACTAGCCTTCAAGACAGTGACTGGACCAGCCACGGCGAGTGTGAGGCCCTGAAGCCTCTCCCACCTGTTCCCTACACAACCCCCCTGACACACAGAGATCCCACCCACCACACCTGCCACGACAGTCTATCAACTAAGATGCTTCCAGAAACTCACGGTCAAAAAACAAATCACACAGTCAAGGGAGAGTAAAGACCAAAGACTAAGCCTCAGTGACATGGAGTGTGCACACCAGCCCCAGGCCAGCCACACTCGCGCCTACAGGCATGGGGTGGCTCAGGTGTGGAGGAACATGGGTTCTAGCACCCGGCCATGTGGGGCCCCCATGTCATGTCCTACATGCACACCTGACGCCCACTCACATGGGTCTCTGTGAATCTGAGAGGGAAACCTCAAGCCCATCCAAGAGTCACTTCCATGGACTCCAAGCTGAGGGTGGTTTCCAAGGTTCTGCCAAATGGTGTTTTTTTTTTTGTTTGTTTGGTGTGTGTGTGTTTTTTTTTTTTTTGGCATCTGCTGAGTTTTCATCATAAACAGCACGGCTGTGAATTAAAGACCAGCCAGCCATTGGACAGGGACCACGGGAGGAGAGGCCCTCGTCTGGCACTTCACCAGAAGTAAAGGAATCTTATCAGATAGAGCTAGTGTCCTGGGGAAAGGGTAGTGGGTGCTGCCTGTGCTTGTGTTATGAGTCCACAGGAATTGTATCCACACCTCACTTTCAGGGTTTTTGGAGGTACCACCAGGCCATGGTCCAGTGTGTCACCAAACATACACTGACCTGGGACACACTGCCCCCACAGAGCAGGCAGGGTGACAGGCCTGACTTGCTGTACCGAATCCCTGCATGTCTGAGCAGAACTGCACATGCGTCCAACAGGGCAGGTCTTTGCCCGGACATCTTAAGTTTCTGACTCGTCTTCCCTTACTAGGGTGGCTGTGGTCTTCAGTTCTGCTTAAACTGTTTGTGCAGCTGACTATTCTCTCTGGAGAGAGGTAGAGGTAGACAGACAGATCAAATGTTTGGTCGAGATGAAACCTGTGTCATCTGTCACAAGCTGGAGAAGTGGGAACTACCTCTCTGTAGCAGAGCACCTACCGGACAAGCTGTGACCGCCTCCACCCCCAAGACCTCTAGGGGCATGTCATGACCACAGGCAGGCCACCTGCAGGGAGGAGTATCTTCACACAGATAAGTCAGGGTGAGTCTCAGGCCACATGTCTCTAAAGTCCAGGTTTGCAGTGTGCGTTATGTGAGCAGCGTAGGGTCTGGATTTGGAGGGGACCCCTTGTTGCGTTAGGTCTCATTTACACCTTCATTTCTGAGTCTGTACTGTGGCTCCTCTGCCTAATTACCTGCAGTACAGTGGTGACTCTCATGTGACTTTGCCCCCCCCCCCCCCGCAACAGATGACCAGGACTGGACACTGGCTGGACCAGACTGTCCCAAGGGCACAGGTGCCGGGTTAAGATGGACAACCTGGCGATAGCCTCGGGACAGGTGCTGATGATGGCGGTGACTGAGAGGTGGGCCTGCTGCCATTGTTTTACAGGTAAGAAGATGAGATGGGTGGCAAGGTGCTGACCACAGCCCACCCCAGCCAGGTCTTCCTGGGCCCCTGTTTGTGTTAATATTAATGTGCATCCCTTTTAAATAAAGTCCCACACTCCACCGAGGGGTGATCATGGGTTTGTTCCTACTTTAGCATCAAGACCACACAGGTAACTAACCTGCTAACTTACCACAACTGTGGGGGGAAAGAAAACAGACTTGAACAAGGTCCACTGTGACTCCCCATCACCAACCTAAGGTTGGTGAGGAGAGGGGCATTGCCTTGGGTCCTTAGGTCTCTGCCTCAGGGCCTCCCTTTCCAACCTGGGGCTGTAGTAGGAGGATGGATGAGTGTGAAGGTTCCCCTGGCAAAGGCCATGGACACTGGGAGACAATGAGTCAGGCGGCGGACAAGAGATGCCACAAATACGGACATCCGTGGGGGCGACGGTATCTGGATGGGGATGCTGGGAAACAAGTGGGAGCCGCCGTGTCACTCAGATGCTAGTAAAAATGTAGAAACACATGCCCTGTTCTTCACCTAACATGAGTCAATGCTGAAGATCAGATAAGATTCCTTTACATGGTAAAGAGAAACATGGAGAAAGCTGTTATTTGCCTCTTTCCTTTCTTTTTTAATGATAATGTAGAACATCATGGCCATGCTCTCCTGACCTAGATCCCCTGTGGTAAGTCTGTCTTAACCCTCCCTTGAACAAAGACACACATCACTGCCAACTGGACGCAGAGCTCCTCCAGGCACCACTGGCTGGGCATTTTCAAAGTCCATCCATCTACTGGAGCCAAGCAACCCTGAGGTGAGTGGGACAAAGCCCCTCTCAGACATCTCTGGGCACAGCTCCATCTCTTCAGTTCTCTCTAGGCCCTACTAAGTTAACTGCTTGTCTTGCATAAAATTTCTCTGTGACCCCTGGCCTTCTAAGCCCTTCTTGGTAGGACAGCAAAGAGGGCAGTGGCTCCGGCCAAAACAACAGGTGTGTGAAGCGGACGTTCACGGCCTCCTGTGATCAGCAAGGCTCTCATCTGACTGGGCAGCTTTTCCTTCCTCAGAGGCATGACTCTTCCCTCATGTGCTCCTAGGAACTCATCTGTGGAAAATTGGGAATGTGTGTTTCAGGGGAAAATAGGACCCTAGCTCTTACAGTTCTACATGTCTCAACCAGGAGTCATTAAAGTCACCTGTAATGCTCCTGGCCCTCCTATCTGCACTTCTTAACGTCTGAGAGCTAGATTTGAGCAGGCGCAGCCCAGGCAGAACTGTGTGAGACTGTGCCCAGTCAGGGAGATGTTTCTGGGGCCCAGATTCCACAGGGCATCCTACTTGGCCTTTTCTGTCTGCTGGACACTGCACAGCTCAGTCTTTCTCACATGGCAGCCCACATCCACCCCACTGCCCACTGCGGGTGCCTGGCAGTGGGCCGGGAGAGCTCTGCATCCAGCGCACAGGGGGCAGGAGACGTGCACGTGAGAAGGGAGAAAACCTGAGTGCACTAACGGGCAGCGGCGGGGGCTGCAGTAAAAGGCTGAGGTTGGCAGTGGAGGCCGCGAGCGGGTCGGCTCTTACCTGACCACCTGCAAAAATGACAGGGGTGGAGGCGGGCTTTGGGCGGTAGGGAATGGTGGCACCTTTCGGTGGGGACTAGGAAAAGGGACAGGAGAGGAAGAGAGATCGTTAGACAGTCTCACAGCGTGGCAGTCATGAGGGTGGGGAGACCTCCTTCCTGAGCCCGCCCACCACTGTACCCTAACCTGTCCCAGTGCCCCAGGCTTGCAGTGCCAGAGGGGTAGGGGGATGCCCCAGAGTGGGAGGGCACCTGCTTGAAATCTTACCCTCACCACCCCAGTTTCCTCCAGGAGGTCACCTCCCTCCTCCTCTTAACCATTGCCCTAATTGCCCCACATGGTGCCAATCACCCCACATGGGCACCTATGACCCCAGCAGGACAGTGAGGAGTATGGGTCTGAGAACAGGCTAAGAAGGAAAGACATGACCCTGTCCTTGCTCGCGCGACCCCCCACCCCCACCCCCCATGATGTTCAGATGAACAGACAGCTGCCTCCAGGCCTAGACGCTGTTGCTCCACCTGTGTGTTAGCCTGGGGTTGTCCTGAGAGAAAAACTCTCCTTTTCCCTTGGATCCTCCCAAATAAGCTGGGCTGTGCATAGCTCCACCATGGGCCCTTCAGGCCCAGTGCCCCAAAGCTTTGCTTGGCCTGTGGTGATGTCCAGCTGACATCATAGCAAAATTAGAAACATCCAATTTCACTCTTTTTTTAAAAAGCAATTTTTCTTTTTAGTTCTTTGTAAGTGACCTCCCCTGCTGCCATACTTTTTCCCCCATACTTTTTTCCTTTTCAATTATAGTTCGTGTTCAATATTATTCTGTATTAGTTTCAGGTGTACAATATAGTGGTTAGACAATCATGTATTTTACAGAGTGAAAGCCATTTTTTTTTTAAAGCACCGAGTCCAAAGGAAATATTCCATAGTCATGATGAAGTTTGCTATAATTTCCTTTGATTATTCTGTGTCCAAAAATATAGGATTCTTATCTTCTGGTGAATGATATTCTGCCAGATTCTGATAAAGTCAACCTAACACCTTGGTCAGAGGCAATCAAGTCCTCCTTGTCCCTCTGGTGGATAGTCTTCCCTGGTTGCAGAGGCCATAGGCCAGGCCTGGTGACCAAGTCGAGAGTTCCTGAGTCAGTGGCACCACCAGCCAGAGGCAGAAGGAGTGGGACAGGGAAGCAAGTCCCTGCTTGGAGTTCTGGAGGCCATGGCCCATACAGGCCCAGCCCACAACCTGGCCAGTCGGGTGTGATATCAGAGTGCCTCCACCCAAAACACACAGCCATGTGGGACAGCAGTGTGGGTAGCAGCTTCAACTCTGCAGCCCAGGCCACATCATGAGACCTTGAACAGATTGTGTCCCCTTGACGACGCTGTGTGACCTTGGCTGTGCTGTTCAACTTTGGTCCAGTTGTGTGACCCTGGTAGTGCTGTACAACCTTGCCATAAAGTGGAAGGCGTGTTGAGAAGAACTGTGAGCTGACCCCAGCTGGTATTTGGGGTTTAGTATTTTGGTAGTTATGATTGAGCCTCCCAAAATGTCTCTGTGTAAACTGAGGCTCATTGTGGTCTCAGACTGGACTCAGGGCTCACTGTGGAAGAATCATGACTAAACCGAGAGTGAATGAGGGACTGTTCTCACTGCTTCAAGCAGATGACTCAGTCTGGCTGCTGATCCCATTCCTGAGCTGGGCATCGTGCTACTCATGCCATTGCTTGGCCCACCATCCCTGCTGCATGGTGCCCTCTGACCCCATCAATGGTAGCATCGGCAATCCTGATACTGCGAGCTCTTCCAGGCCATCTTGCCGATTCTGAATTAGGATTCCTGATTCCCGACTTCCTCTGATGGAGAAGAGGTTGATTACAGCCGCCTGTCCTGCTCCCCCTTGGGAAAAGTGCAGCTGTGGGTTGTTCTCCACAGGGTCCCACCCAACTTGCCTGCACCCAGGGTCTCAGTAGTACTTTCAAGGGTGGGAGGCCCACCCTGTAGCCATGCCTGGAAATCCTCTGGTCTTCTGCTCTATTTGTACAGTAACTCTTCAGTTAGAAATAAACCCAACTGTTACCAGGAGCAATGAATCTTCTTCTCCAGGTAGGAGGGCTGCTCCCAACCTCCGAGAGCGTCATGACACCGACAAGAACAAGGCATTACCTCCACCCAATGTTTATCATTCATGTTGCCACGTGCACTTCACCATTCACCGTCCACATAAGCCTCCAGCCATCAGGAAGGAGACAGGGCAGTTCCAGCCATGGTCTTGGGGGTGCCAGCACCCCAAAGTCAAGGAGGGTCAAGCCTACTTCCAGGGGCTGTCTGACCATGAATGTGGCACAAGCAATGCCACTTGGGAGGAGTTCTGAGGAGACCACAAGTTCTGTTCTGACCCTTGATTAGGTATGTGGGTGACTGTGTCAATATTGGAACTGTTCATATCACTCTGCCATCCTGAGGTGCCCACTGCTGCTTCACAGATGGCCATCTGTCAGCACTCAGGTTCCCAGGCCAGTTGCCACTGTCCATGTGGCCCTCTGGGGTTCCAGCAGCCGGACACTAAAGGGAACATGGTCAGCACCAACTGTCACTATGACCAATGGTTGGGGAAACTTCAGAACAACATTTAGAAAATAATTTTTGACGTCACAAAATATCATACTTTAAGAAAATAAAAACTACAATTTTTTTTAAAGAGTTGGACATGGGTTTTAACACCAAGCCAAGTACAAAAGAGAGATAAGCCCACAGCGGCCAGCGAGGCTTTATTTCCCATGGGAGATTGCGGAGGTGGTCACTCTCTAGCAGATCCTCAGGCCCAGGGACCATGAGCAGGGGGCAGTGGAGGGGCCTGGCAGCCTGGCCACCGGCACAACTGTTGGAACCTTTCATTTGAGGCAGGATGACTTCATTTTAGCTTAAAGAAAGAGAACTACTGATTGCTTCAATGACTCTTGCATTTTGGGTATTGGTTGAAATTTAAATTTCAGGGTTTCCCCCCAAAATTTCAAAGAGGTTGTACTGTCTTTGCTTCTCTTTTGGCTTTTAATCCCTTTGTATACTATTCTGTCTTTACAATTTGGGCATTTTTATGTGCTTTTCCTAAGTCCTGCCATTTGTGGGGGCTCAGATAACTTCAGCTAGCTCAGCGGGAGGAGTTTTGTCCACAGCAAGCAGCCTTTCCACCTCCAGTGCTCATCTCCAGCACAGTCCCATCTCCAGTGCAGACCCAGATCCCTCTCCGGTGCAAACTTGTATCCAGAGCAGACCTGTTCCATTGCAGACTTGCACTGTCTTTAAGGCCCAAACCTTTATTAAAGCACCCTCACATGACGGACTAATAACTTTTCACCCAGTTCCAGAAATAAAGTAAGGGGCACATGCCTCCCCATGTGTCCTCTCCCCTGCTTTCCCAATGAAGATGACAGACCCACCCTACAGGGGGCAGGCACCAGCACTGCCCCTCTCACAGCGCCCAGCACGGCTTCTATTCATGTGACCTTGGGCCTAGATCAGGGACCTGGGACACATTTCTGATACCTGGACCCCATACAACCCTAACCTCGTGAATCCTCAGAGCCCCTGAGGCACCAAAGCCTTTGCCACCACCGACACTAAGTAGCCACAGCCAGCTTGGACTGAAGGAAGGCTGGCCATGAGCACGGATACAGAAACTGTACCTCCAGCATGACCACACAGATCTGCTTGACACACTGGATGATGGCGTCAGGAGTCCCTGAGATGGTCACTGCCCGCTCTGTGGAGTTGGGCAGCATGTCCCCAGCCACCTGGACCTGGGCACCTGTGGACTAGAGAGACCAGATGTTGGAAGGAGCATGGCAGAGGGAGGAGGAGGTAGTGAGTGCCAAAGTAGTGCTTCCTGGATTCTCTTGAGGGTGTGTCTAAGGCACACTGCATTGGAAAGCCACCCCTACATTACCCCCATGTCGCCCCTTCCATGCAGGCCCTCTGCATGTTTCTTTGGGGAGCCCCTGTGGGCTGGTCTCAGCTATCTCAGCCCACTGCTGTCCAGCACAGAGCTTGTGCATGGCAAGCATCACTGCCTAGGAGGCATTTTAACAGGCAGACAGGCATTTGCAGGAGATGAAAGAGAGTCATATTTTTTCAAATGTGTGGAATTCTTTCTACTCTGTGGAGTTTTAGGTCACAGAGAAAGATGGATTCTAGATGGGCCTAAATAAATTTGTGACCTCTTGTTCTTGAAAGAATGCAGATTGGATGGCTGCCCTCCTTCTGGGAGGGATTAGGCTTTCCTTGAAATGAATGAACATGTGACCATAGAGTCTGCAGCTCCTGCCAACTCCATCCCAGCTGTTTTTCCAGGAAACTGGGGCAGAGACCACAAGCCCCTTGTGTAGGGCCTCTGTGCCCCAGAGCCACATGACTGGGGTGGGGTGCTATAATCTGTTCTGTCCCAGGAGTCCCCTGCCTATTCTCAATCGGGGCATATGCCCCTCCCTCACAATACCTGGCACCTCTGCACATACCTCCTTACCCACCCAGTGGCTCAGCACCCACCGGGCTGGGAAGGGTCCTGTTACCTCCCTGATCTCCTTGATCTTGGAACCGCCTTTGCCAATCAGGGAGCCGCACTGGCTGGCGGGGACCACCAACCTCAGCGTCACCGGGGGCTTGCTGGTGGCAGGGCTGTTGCTCATGGAGTTGATGATGTCCTGGGGATGGAAGGTGTGACCGTTGGCTAACAGCCTCTGTGTGAACACCGAGAGTGTGGAAGCAAGGCTATGCTTGGAGCCCTTGACAAGCCAGGAGGTAGGGGACACAGGCTACAGAGACCAGTGGTGAGGGCCCTTTCCTGAGAAGCTCCCAGTCCAGGGGGAAGAGGACCAGGGTAGAGATGCATGCGCTTCTAGATGGAGGAGCACACACCCTGGAAAATGGCTAAATGTGCAGAAAGAGGGCACAGCAGCCAGGCTGGCTGGTTACAGAGGCTTGAAGGCCAAGGAGAGGGTGGTGGGATGGACAGAGGGGACCACAGAGACATGGGTCAGAGCGGCCACCATGCTGCTGTGGACAGGGTAGGGCACAGATTGGAGGGCGCCTAGACTCAGGGCCTGATATTTGCCCTTAGGGCCTGGTAGAGCCTGGAGGTTTGGACAGATGGGGTGACACATTTTTCCAAATGTATTCTCCAGCTTGATCACCCTCTGAATAAAACACATGAAATGTGTCTTTAAATAATTTTAGGCAATTTCAAAATAAAAATACATACAAACTTTAAGTTGTGATTTACTGACACAGGTGCCCAAGAACCACCTGGGTCCAGCCCTGTCCACTGCCTATCTTGAGTGGGTGCATCTTACCTCCTCAAACTTATAGGCGATCATAGCGAAAGCCTTGAAGATGGCATCAGTTGGGCCCGTGATGGTCACGATTCTTTCTGGACAGTTTCCCTCTGAGATGTTGATACGGGCACCACTCTAGAAGGGAGTTGAGCAAACCCCAGAAACTACATTAAAGCCGTGGGGTCAGATAGAAAACCAAGATGGTGGCATAGGTAAACACTGGAAATTGCTGCCTCCCACAACAAATTCAAAAATACAACTAAAAGACAAAATGGACATCATCCAGAACTACAGGAAGGCTGGCTGAGTGGAAATTCTACAACTAGAAGGAAAGAGAAAAGCACAGTGAGACTCAGAGGAGCTGTGGAAGTAAAGTGCAGAGGTACGGAGGCACACGTGGCAAGGGCTGGCAACTGAGAACGAGGCTGTCTTTTTGAATCGGGAGGGAGTCACAAGCCCCCGACTGCTCTGTACTCCAGTTCCGGGAAGTCTCTGGGGACCAGGACTCATACAGGGAGAAACTGGACTGTCTGGCAGCAGGCAGAACTCAGAACTCGAGGGCGGCTTTCTCTCAGAGGTGCTTGGAGCAATTACTGGGACACTGAGACTCGGGGCCCCTTAGGGCAGGGCTGAGGATCAGCCATAACTGCTTGCTCCGCCCTGTTGATTCCCTGAGACCCTGCCCCACCCAAGCTGAGGCAGAGGCTTTTGCATATAAATGCCCTGGCCCTTTGCAATCTGAAAATTACCTAACAAACTGCAGCTGGGCCAGACAGACCCAGAACTTCCAAGAGAAGGCCCAAGGCACCACAGCAGCTTGCATTGCTTCACAGCTGGGCCTCATCTGGGCACCTCCAAACCCTAAACAAGGAAGGGGAATCTGCAGATCTCTTCTTAGCTCCTGCTGGGTAGCCTCAGGAAGAGGCTAAATTAGCACCTCCTTAGATCTAAGAGCCAGTGTACCCAGTGGCCAGAGTGGGACCATCCAGATTACAACTCCTCAGATCCATAAGGGACACACTAAGGGGGCAGACTCAGTGAGCACCAAAGCCCCACTGAAGCAAGTCTTGCCCCAGAAGGGTGTCTTCAGCACAGAAGTTCTCCCACCGTAGACACAGCTGATTCTCACAGCCAATTGGCCTGGAGGTCAATTCCTCCCAGTGATACCTACAACAATCAAGGCTTAAGTACAACAAGACTGTGCACAAAGCTCACAAAGAGGTGCACCAAGCGTGTCCACGTCAGGTAATTGGGGAGGCTGAGCCACTGGGCCCTATAGGACACCTAGCACACAAAGCCACTCTACCAACATAGGGAAACATAAAAAATGCGGAGACAAAGAAACAGGTCACAAATGACAGAAATGGAGGAAAGCAAACGACTGGATATAGAGTTCAAAACCACGTTTATAAGGTTTTTCAAGAACTTTCTAGAAACTGCCGATAAATGTAGTGAGACCCTCAAGAAATCTAGTGAGACCCTCGAAGTTATGAAAAAGGACCAACTAGAAATTAAGCATACACTGACTGAAATAACGGATATTATGCAGAGTTCCAACAGCAGACTAGAGGATCACAAGAATCAAGTCAAAGATTTGAAAGACGAAGAACCAAAAAACACCCAACCGGAAAAGCAAAATGAAAAAAGAATCTGAAAATACAAAGATAGTGTAAGGAGCCTCTGGGACAGCTTCAAGCGTACCAACATCCGAATTATAGGGGTGCCAGAAGAAGAGAGAGAGCAAGATATTGAAAACCTATTTGAAGAAATAATGACAGAAAACTTCCCCTACCTGGTGAAAGAAATAGACTTACAAGTCCAGGAAGCGCAGAGAACCCCAAACAAAAGGAATCCAAAGAGGACCATACCAAGACACATCATAATTAAAATGCCAAGAGCAAAAGACAAAGAGAGAATCTTAAAAGCAGCAAGAGAAAGAAAGTCAGTTACCTACAAGGGAGTACCCATACGATTGTCAGCTGATTTCTCAACAGAAACTTTGCAGGCCAGAAAGGGAGTGGCAAGAAATATTCAAAGTGATGAATAGCAAGAACCTACAACCAAGATTACTTTATCCAGCAAAGCTATCATTCAGAATAGAAGGTCAGATAAAGAACTTCACAGATAAGGAAAAGCTAAAGGGGTTCATCACCACCAAACCAGTATTATATGAAATGCTGAAAGGTATCCTTTAAGAAGAGGAGGAAGAAAAAAAAGGTAAAGATACAAATTATGAACAACAAATACATATCTATCAACAAGTGAATCTAAAAATCAAGTGAATAAATAATCTGATGAACAGAATGAACTGGTGATTATAATAGAATCAGGGGCATAGAAAGGGAGTGGACTGACTATTCTTGGGGGACAAAGGGGTGTGGGGGATGTGGGAAGAGACTGGACAATAATCGTGCACCTATGGATGAGGACAGTGCGGGGGGGCGGTGGGGGCTGAGGGTGGGGTGGGAACTGGGTGGAGGGGAGCTATGGGGGGAAAAAGAGGAACAATTGTAATAATCTGAACAATAAAGATTTAATTTAAAAAAAAAAAAGAATTAGCAACAAGAAAAAAAAAAAAGCCATGGGGCCAGTAATGGGTTAGCTTCTTCAATAACTGATGTAAACATACCCAGTTGGTCCCTGAAGGGGAAAGCTCAGCACTAAACAGTAAAATTCTCTCCAGTACTGCCCTCTACAGTGAGATTTTAATTAGAGAAAGGACTCAAGTGACCAGTAAGGATGCACTGTGCCCATGACAGCTCCTGTGGAAACCTTGGGGGTATGGGTGTTGAGGGCAGGGGCCTCCGAGCTGTTGTGCGCCCCTCATCTAGTGCAGTATCTGCTGTGGCCCTCCGGCCTACTGGAGACAGGATGCAGCTAATGCACGCAAACTTACCTCTTCACGCATCTTTTTCACAGTTTCTCCTTTCTGGAAGAAAGATTTAGACAACAGGAAGAAAGGTCACTCAGGGGCCCACTACAGGCAAACCCCTGAGTTTGGTGCAGCAGCATGAAATGTCAGGAGCTCCTGCACCCCAGTATGCCCCGGGGCAAGAGGGCAGCAGGTCCTCAGAAAGCAGGGCTCTCTACAGGTTCCATCCAGAGCCTGACACACATGTGATTCACTGAGCCCTCAGCACATCTGGCTCATGAGCCCACAGAGGAGGAAACGCAGCTGCTCACGCAGGGGCACGAGGCTCTGTGGGCAGATGGGTTGAGACCAGGGACCTGACTGGGCACCACACTTGGCCAGGGCACCTGCTCCATGGAGTGGAAATGGGATACACCCAGGTCACAGCCATCCCCATCTTCATCACAGGCAAAGCAGGACCAGGTGCATGGGTGCAGGAATGAGGAGACCCCCTGAGGTACATATGTAAAGAGCTAGACTTTGAGCATTGGAGGTGCCCCCACTGCACAGGGACCACTTAGGAAACCAGGGGTCCTGAGGTGGTCAAAATGGGACCAACAGGAGGGCAGTGCCTCAACCCTGATCTCTCCTACAGGCACAGGCTCCAAATGGGTTCTGACTTTTCCCAAGGAATGTTTCTTCGGTTTTGGAATGGAAATGAAAGAGACTCACTACCACTCACAGAGGCAGGTGACCACTGTGATGAATGGAAGTAAAGGAATTCTTACTGAGCTCTCACACCCGGGAGGAAGGTCTGGCTATCAGGGTGGCAAGAGGTGGGGCTGCTCTCAGACCAGCTTCATAGTGGTTCAGCTTGAGAGTGAGAGTCTTGGGATTCTCCTGGGATCCTCACTGCATGGAGAAGCTGCTGCCCCGTGGACAACCCCCTCCCCACACCCCACCCTCACCCCAAGCACAGAAACCCCAACAGAGGCAGAGAGTTTACTTAATAATTACCTTCCCGATGATGCTTCCAACTTCCTGTAGGAAAAATCACAAAAAGCTGACGTCATATAGCAGAAGGAGAAAGGACTCTGTGGCAGACACTGTTATGCGTGAAGAAGGGACATATAGGTAGTCATAAAAAGGCTTGCAGGCCCTATGTCCAGAGGGTCCCTCTGTGCCCATCTGACCACCACTGGTGCTTCTGACTGACAGACAGCCGAGCAGAGGAGAATAGCTAGCTGCTTTCCAGCTAAACAAGTTGGAAGGCACACCTATGCACTTAAGGCAGCAAGGAAACCCTGTAAGAAATGGATGAAAAATAAAATCTCCCTTGAGCCCTAACCGGTTTGGCTCAGTGGATAGAGCGTCAGCCTGCGGGTTGTTGGCACATCCCCAGTAGGTGGTGTGCAGGAGGCAGCTGATTGATGTTTCTCTCTCATCGATGTTTCTAATTCTCTATCCTTCTCCCTTCCTCTCTGTAAAAAAAAAAAATCAATAAAATATTTTAAAAAAATCTCCCTTGATTTTGTGATATAAAGAAAAATAAGCACTCCCTTTGCTACTTGACTTTTTAAAAAGGTAGAACATTCAAAGACACCCTTAAACTTGCCACCACGGTGCTAAAGCCTGGAGCCCGTGACAGTTTGGACACATGGTCCCAGTCAGGCCTGCTCATCCCAGTACCTCTCTGCCTGGAACAGACCCACATGGTGCTACTGTGCATCTCATGAAGGCAGGGTCAGTTCGCTTCTAGCCATAGAGAACAACATCTTTCAAAATAAAACTCATTGTCCTCAGCAATCACAACATTTCGCCAGGCCATGGGGAGGGAGTATGCAGTGGGGAATGAAGCAGCAAAAGGCAACTGGGTACAAAGTAGTGACCCCTCTGGTGGTGGTCAGGGACCTCACCTCCCATGGGCAGGGTTTGGTGCTTGTTGTGGTGGCTGCAGCTGGAGATGGGGCCATATAACTGACCCCACAGACTACTTGCCATGGTCCACACCCAGCTTCCACAGCCTTGACCAAATGCCACCCCAGTCAAGGGAAGGAAAGGCTGGTGGTCATCTCTCCATCACAGAAAGGGACGCTCTTTCTGTGTGAGCACCTTCCCTCCTGGAAATCTTGGGTGGGAAGAGCCACAGGCATGAGGCCAGAGCCTCTGCCAGCCCCCTGAGAGTCAGGCTTCTCAAGGCACAAACATAGGACAGCGGGGGAGCTTGGATGGATCCTGTGCCATTGGACTGGAATTGGGGGTATGAAATACTGGGGCCCAAAATCTAGAGAGATCAATATGTAAATAAATATGCAGATGTGTATGCATGTGCATATGATAATACAATATTCACACATGTACATACACACACTCATATATAGGCACACATGTATGTTTTCCAGCCCTGTCTGGGACCAATGACAGACCAAGGGTGATGATCACACCACGAGCCCTGATCTGAACCTCAAACACAGTCCTCCCCTCAAAGAAGTCAGGCTTCTTTGGAGAAATGGCTGATTCCAGGACTGTGGCAGGGAAAGCACCAGATGAAACATAAGCAGCATTTTGAGCCAGAAGCCAGGCATAAAAATGATAGGCCACATCAAAGGGATGTAAGAGCCAGTCTGGAGGGACCCCCATTGGCCAAGTCATGGACAATGTGAGTATCAAAATAAATAGTGACAGAACAGGGAATAGAATAAAACAATAAACCCTGAGTCCATGTAGACATGAATAAGTGGATGCACTGAAAGCCTGCTGACAAATAAGGTATCTACAAAGCATCTACCTATTAGTGGGGGAAAAGCAGCTCTAGTCGGAGACACCTGGCAGGTATCTCTCTAACTAGGTGATTGGAATGGGACACACCCTGAAATCTAGGCCACCTGATAGGAAAGCTTCGGTAACTTTCCTGACATCAGAAAAAGCCAATGTGAAGGATATTCTACAAAAGAACTGGACAGAAACATTCAAAGGTGAAAGGCCAAGGAAGACCAGGGCAAGTCTTTCAGGTTAAAAGAGGCTGGAGACACGACAAGGACATGGAGTGGGAGGGCACCTCGGAGTGCCCTGTTAGGAAGAGCAGTGCTGGGATGGTTAGGATGGTGAATGGAGTCTGTGGTCAGGTGGCCAGAACAGATCAGCATCACTGTCCTGACTTGATGGTGCAGGTGGTGATGGAGGAGAATGCCCGTGCATGTAGGAAATACACACTAAGGTACTTGGGGATAGGACGTCACCTGGGCAACTTATTAGTTTCATATGGTTCCAGGAGAAGCGTCTTTAGGCTGGACTGCTCCTGCTCTGTAAGTCTGAGATTGCTTAGAATTTTTAAAAGAATAATACAAAGCAAAGGCCCCAGCTCTGGGCAAGACCTCCCTTCCTCCCAGCTGGTCTGTTGCCTTTCTTCTGAGGAGAGTGACAAAGGCAGGGCAGGGCGTGTACTTTTGTACCTTTCCATGCATCAACAGGCGGATTGTCAGGGTCACGTTCAGGCCACCTTCTGAGACTTTGGACTCCATCTTTCTCCCAAAATGCGTCTGGGGGTGGTGGCTTAAGGTGCCAAGGGTGCCGAGAGGAAGGATAGATGGGGCCCAGATGGTGTCACCTGGAAAGAAGAAGGCAAAGCTGCTGATAACTGAGAACATCAACCGCCAATGCACTGGAGGATGTCCCAGCCTCTGGAGGGGCAGGAGGCTGCTGGTGAGAGGCAGAGGCTCAGGGAAAGGCTTCCCAGAGCGTCGTGGAATGACCTGCTGTAGCATGGGGTACAGGGAAGTAGAGGGGATGGGCCTAAGGAAAGCCCTCCAGGAACAGATCCAGCCCCACTGCTCAGTAACTGCATGACAAGTGCAGGTCATCAAGCCCTCTGGCCTCAGTTTCCCTCTGTAACAAAGGAACAGCTCTCTTAGATGCTAGAGGGGAAGCAGGGTCACCCAGTAAGCCCTGAGGCCCGCATATGCATCCAGTGAGTGCCTCCTCTGCTGTGAGGTTAGTTTTGCCCATTTACTTCACATCGGTGCCAGGATCCGCAGCCTCCCAGTGCGACTCCCTTCACCCTTAAAAAGTCAGGAAAGTTCAGGTAGTGGTGTGTCCTTGGCATCTAGAGCTGAGATTCCTTGGTAATTCTCACTTATAAAGTGGATTTAGTCTATATCAACTAAATTTCCAAATAGCTGAGTGTCCCCCTTTATAAGTTTTCAGAAAATGCTTTAATCCCCCATATCATTGGTCTGTTTGCTATATACTTTCTGCAGATGGCTGGCTCAGCGCTTAGCCCACGAGGCAAAGTGAAGGCTCTACTTCATAAATTACAGGCAAGGAGTGATTTCAGGCAGTGGGCCTAGAGTACAATGTGCCCCCAAGACTATGTGCTGGTGCTCAGGCCCTTGGGGCTTGGCCTGAATGGGTGATTGATGGAGGACAATGACTAAGCAGTGACCTGAGTCTCACACCCAGCTGCATGGGGCTCCTGGCTTCAGCCCCTTCTCGTGGAGGATCGTGTCCTCCTCTGGGCTGGATTCTGAGGACAGGTCACCCTCACCCTCACAGGAGCAGCCTCATGAGACAGGCACCAGCAAGGATTTAAAACAAGGTCAGGTGAGGGCTGGAGTGAACAGTGGGGAGTGGACTCTCAGATCAGACAGGGAGAGGTCTAGGACCAGCATGTCAAACTCAAAGGCTAACATGGGCCAAAAGGTTTAAGTTTATGTGGTTCGCAAAAAAACAAAAGCTTCAATTTTCATAGAAACGTAGGTTTATTTTGATAGAGACATGCTGAATACAAAGGACTGAAATAAATGAGTCATCATTAACATAAAATAATGGAACATTTTAATAAAAATTATTTCTTGAACATTAACTTACCAGACACTGAATAACTGCACAAATTAATAAGCATAACGCAAATAAACCTATTTTTCTTGTTCTCTGAAAGTGAAATTATTTCCTGTTGCGCACACCAAACAAGTCAGTACAAGACTAATGACTGCCGGGGTCCAACCCCAGCGGGTCCAGGGGTCCCCAAAGGTGTGGACGGAGTCGGCGAAGAAGGAAGGACACGGAGACAGCGTTCAGTTGATCAGCAGCCTAGCCAGGATCTCTAGCCAGGATCTCCAGCCAAGTTCTGGTCTGGATCTCCAGCGAAGTTCTGCTGTTTATTGTCTTGTTACATCCGTATTTATCCCAGTTGATTTTAATCCTGTCAATTTCTATTACAAAGGTTAGGGCGTTTCTTATCTCCATTCCAGGGAGTAAAGATTATGTAGCTTAAGCATGATTGTTTATAGTGATTAACTACCCGCCTGGCACTTAGTTAAGGAGTTTCATCCCCTCCCTGACTTCAGGGAAAAATTCCTACCTGGGGAAACAACCTTTCTCGGAGAGGTGACCTTGGTTAAAACACACAGCGCTAAGGGGAGCAAACATATTAAGAACAGTATGCTATATACGCCAGGTCCCTTAAAACATATGCTGTGCAGATGTTTCTTTCCTGCAGCGACTGTGTCAAGCAGCAAGGATGGACCGGCTTCCGGCAAATGACGTGGCAATTGGCTGTTAAAATATTCACTGCTAGTATTAGTGGAGAGAAATGGTGTGCCAGTGCATAAGGCACGTAAGGGAAACGAATGCAACATGATTATAGAAATCAGTCACTAGTGAACGTTGTAGTTCGTTATTAATAATTATGTATAACAGGATATTGTAAAAATTAAGTTACAAAATTTTTATTAAAATGTTTCTTACATACTGTTATATTGGCTGGGCCACAAAAATATTCATTGTGGGCCACAAGTTTGACATGCTTGGTCTAGGACAGGGGTGGGCAACCTTTTTGTGAGTGCATGCCAAAACCAGCAAAATCTCTGACTCAAAATTCTTCTGCATGCCAACCCTAATTTTTTGAGAACATGTTACGCCTACTTGATATCTCTTAAGGTGTACGTATGTGAAGAACCTTGAATAAATAATAAAATTCATTCGAGCAACAAAAACAGTATATGATGATGAAAAATACGTTTATTTTTTAATGTATACATGTATACTGATAGTCCGACAGAAAACTTTATGACTCCGTTTGATATTATCAGTGAGACTTTTGCTGCTGCATCACTGATGACAGATTTTACATCAGGTTTATATTTCGTGACCTTCAGAGATATGCACGAGCTACTACTTTCATCCATCAGGCTACTCCTATTACGAGACTTAACAAAATTCATCACTGAGAACAAAGATTCACAAACGTATGTGGATGAAACCAAAACACTGGTCGGATCTAGGAAGGCAGGGAGAGTTAAGGCAGAGGCATAGAAATTGCTCTTCCCCTCTCTCGTCAATCCATGCGTATGGTCTTTAAGATAACTTGTTATGTAAAAATTATTTATTTATCTAAGATGCACCTACACTGAATTTATCTGAAAAATAAGAAAGTTGATATTAAGAAAAAAATTGTAAATGGAAGATTATAAGAGAGGGTTTCACGTGCCAGCAAAAGTTACTGGCGTACCATGTTTGGTACGCGTGCCAGGGGTTGCGCACCCATGGTCTAGGAAACCAGGTATATGCAAGACCCAGATACTGGGGCATGCCCGGGGCACACCAGACCCTAACTCCAGGGCTGGGTGGTGCTACTTCACTCTGAGGGCAGGGTTCATAAGTGAGTGGTGGTGGTGTAGCCTTTCTGGGAGTTTAAGCAGGCATTCTCTGGGCCCCTGTCTGTGCAGTGCACAAAACTGGGGTGGGGGAAGGTTGAAGAGTCACCTGCCTGGATATGCAAGAACATGACAGGGGGTGGGTGGTATATATAGGGATATTTCAGGATGCGCAGGTTAGGGGGCATGTGGGTACAGAAACATCACAGGGTCATGGGGGTCCTGCAGAAAGAAGAGGAAACACGGCACGAGTGGCCCCCATAGGAGCAAGGGACCCTAATGGTCTTGGGGAGCGTGGGCAGGTGGGGGATGACGGGGTGGGGGCCTTAGGGAATTGACAGCAGAGTGTCTTTGTTGGACAGAAAGGGAAGGAAGGACTGGCTGGGGGAAGATTCTGGGTGAACCGTGGTGCAGGCCAGGGCTCAGTGGTTCCACTAAGGGCCAGGAGGGACCCTGGGCCGATTCTGCAGGAGAGCACGATAGGCCCTCAGGAGCTGCCACCTGCCCAGGTGCATACCTGAGAGTGTGCCAGGACAATGAAGGATGAGGCTTTGGAAGCCCTGAGAGGAACCAAGGGCTGGTTCTGCGAGAGCTCCTCACACATTACCCCACATTTAGTGCCTTCACTAATGACAATGTCACATTGCCTGCATGGCTGCCTAAGTCCTTCAGGAACAACAGTCCTGTGAAACCTGCATGTGTCCCCATGCACCTGCAGGCTGTCTGGACATTGGCCCTGTGATGTAACTTATAAAGATGAGAGGCTTTGTCCACACACAGGAGAGACTACAGGTTAGAAAAGCAAGCTTTTCCTTTAAACTTAGAGGTATTCATGAGGCAAAAAAAATTTTTTTTTCTTGTAAAATATTTCTGCTAAAAATATGCTAAAAGGAAAAGACAAAAATAAAGCACAGAATCAAAGTACATACCATTACCTATGTGATATGTAGGGGACTCCTGCAAAGGGCAGTTACAGGCATGGGCAAAACGACAGTTTCTAATTCTATTTCTGCATTAATAAGCACTCACATTTAAAAATATATTTACAGGCAACTTCAACACACTCCAACTATTAGTTCTAATTATTCATAGTCAGAGCATTTAAATAGCAAGGATTTTAACATGAACATATAATACATAGCAAGAGAATTTTAAAAATCATCATTCCATATGAATGTCCTCTATCTAGTACAGTAGCCACTAGCCATATGTGGCTATTTATATTTAACATAAAGATTCACTGCCACATTTAAGTGTTAAGTAAACAGTCTCCTGTAGCTACTAGCTGCGAATGGAGGAACACAGATAGAGACCCTTTCTGTCACCCAGAGAGTTCTGGTGAACAGCGCAGTGCATGTGACCCTTGGGAGGAGAGGAGGCACTAGCTGCAGGGACTGGTGTGGCATCTGAGAAAAGCACTCCTTCCTACAGAGGTGCCCTGCAGCAAGCCCTTTGGATTCCAGTATGTGTAAGGCTGAGTTCCCAGCACCCCTAAACTGAATCTCGTGGTGCTAGGCAGGGGCGCCCGCCTCCTTTTTAATTAGAAACACCTCCTCCTGTGTCAGGGGGACAGGCCCCCCCGCCCCACCCCCCTGCCCTGTCATCTGTTATGTTAATGTTTCCAGCCCATGGTGGAGAAAGTGGGTCAGTGAGTGCCAGGAGTGCTGTAGGCTGTCAACTGCCATCAGACACAGGCCAGTGAGCTGCTGCAAAGGCCAGTGCCTTCATCACATGTCAAGAGGGCGTGTCACAGTGCTCTCTGCAGATTGGTGGGAACAAAAAGCAGTCCAGGGTGGTCATTAGGATCACCTGGGACTCAGTAACCTTGACCCCGAAGAACCCACCTTGTGCCAGCTGGCAAATAGAGCCAGCCAGCAAGTAGCATGGGGCAGGTGGCTTCCCAGGATCATGGGCCTCTTGGTAGGCATGGAGTCATCCTGGCTGTCCTGCCAAG